AGTTCACTGAAGACACCAGGAGGGTCAGAGCAGGAGGAAGCCAGGAGGAGATGAAGACATTAGTGAAGAAGAAGAAATGTATGTGAGGAATAAAGAGGAAGTGTCAGAAAGAGGGACAGAGGCANAGCTACATGGCCCTAACGTGTAAAGTTATACAAGCATTTGTACCAGTGCTTTTCACAAGTAGACTCTTGCAGGCCAGAGTAGCTGGAGTGATTCAACAACAACACAAATCTGTGTTCTGAGAAGTGATCAGGACGAACAGAAAGAGGAAAAGGAAAAGAGAGATGAAGAGACCAGGAGGGTCAGAGCAGGAGGAAGCCAGGAGGAGATGAAGAGACCAGGAGGCTCAGAGCAGGAGGAAGCCAGGAGGAGATGAAGACATTAGTGAAGAAGAAGAAATGTATGTGAGTAATAAAGATGAAGTGTCAGAAAGAGGGACAGAGGCAGGGATCAGGAGGCAGATGAGACTCCAGCTGGATCACATGGTATGTTTTTATTCTCCTTGCATACATATTCCATTACAGCAGCTCTTAGTATTGACACATATTGATTGAAATGTGTTGCTGCACAGGTCACCTTTAGCTCTCTTAAGAGATGGGTGATGTCATTTGTGTACTTAATTATTACTAAGTACTTTGACTGTACTTACAGTAAACAGAATTCTAGGGTATCATGAGTATTTTCTGCTGTTTTATACTATATTTTAGTTTGTCTGAACACCTTGTTTCTCTTGTGCATTAAGAACACGTTCATTAGGGCATGATTTAACCACGTACTGTCCGCCACCCTGGCATGACCTCTGCCACCCCATGTAAAATGTTCTTGAACCGCCACTGGTCTTGTCCTATCTCAAGCTCATTTAATTCTTCACAACTCACTAGACACCCCCACTCTTCCTCATTGACTACAAATGGAACCGGGGTCAAACAGACATCCTCTCTTTCGTTACCTAATCCAGAGGTTGACAGATAAAGTGTTGTCATACCTGACTCTTCTTCCTCCCTCAGATGTATCCGGTGCTGCCTTACCTGATCTTTGTCCTGAAGCAGTTTCTGCTGCAGAGGGATCTTAACGAAGTCTTCACCGGGGGAATCAGCTCCTACAGCCTCATCCTCATGGTCATCAGCTTTCTACAGGTACAGGAAGATGCAGACACCTCCCTGAAAAATACATGTGATGTAAAAGAAGTAGCCCAGTGCAGGATGTGCTAGCTAATGAAAGTAGCATTCATAGGAGAATTTGTAGTAGCACTTAGCTTCAGACATATCCAGTGTTGACAGACATCAATAGTAATCATTACTAATGCATAGTAATTATGTTTTTGTAATCAGTTCTCCCATTGCTCTTTCTTTCAGCTCCATCCACGTATCGACGCCAGGAACCCCAACGAGAATTTGGGCGTGTTGCTGATTGAGTTCTTTGAGTTGTACGGCCGCCATTTCAACTACTTGAAAACAGGGATTCGTATCAAAAATAGGGGCGGGTACTTGGCCAAAGAGGAGATCATGAAGTCCATGACAAATGGATACAGACCATCCATGCTCTGCATAGAGGACCCGCTGCTCCCAGGTGTGTGTGTGTGTGTGTGTGTGTGTGTGTGTGTGTGTGTGTGTGTGTGTGTGTGTGTGTGTGTGTGTGTGTGTGTGTGTGTGTGTGTGTGTGTGTGTGTGTAGTGTGTGTGTGTGTCGTGTGTAGTGTGTGTGTGTCGTTGTGTTGTAGTAGTAGTGTGTGTCGTGTGTG